TAAAATAAAAACTGAGGCTGGATCAAAAACTATGTCTAGAAAATCCAGGGATCTACATTACTAACTTCTTCATGACTAACAATGCTTTAATAACAATCTTCTTGTGATCTTACAAGCACCAGAGGTCGATTCAGGGGGATCGCAGGGGATCGCTGTTCCCCCGGGTGAAGAGCCTGGGAGAGGGATCTCCCATGCGGAGTTACTCACAAGCAGCCCCGTCGAGCTGCATTATAAGACGTTGTTGCTGAAGAGAGTAGCCTGGCTGAAGCTCGTCCCGCTCGTCCGGGTCTGGGCGCGGCACCTCAAGGAGAGGACGGGAGGAGGGGGCTTTTCTCCTTCATTCCTCTGCAGCACGGAGAGGATCAAGGCGAGTGAGCCGCTTCCTAAAGAGACTGTGCAAGGAGCGGGGTGGGGGGCAGGAGAGCCAGAGGAAAAGGTCTTTTCCTTCCGGAGGAAGGAAGGAAACTCGGCTACTGAATGGCCAAAAAGACTAGGAAGAGGCTTCAGATCTGAAAAAGCCGGCAAAAGCATTGCCGGCGGGTCCCAGGAAGGTTTACTCACAAGTAAGTCATGGGTGTGTGTGTGTGAGAAATCAGCTTTTTCAGTCCTGGAAGAGAGAAATGCGGCTATCAAGTGTTTTTGATGGGGAGTTTGTATAGTCCGGGCGCTGCTCTTTATGGGGAGGGGAGGGCAGGAAGCATTTTCATTTGTCTCCAGCTCTGAAAGGAATAAACTGACAGAGCTGATTGCTAGAGAGGCCGAGAAAAGGAGGGAGGCAGAAAAGAGGAAACGCTTTTTTTCGGGGGGGTGGGGCTTTGCTATTGAATTGCCAACGAGGACGGGAAGGGCTTCCAATATGCAACTGCTGGCAAAAACCTTGCAGCCGGATCCTGCGAAGATTTACTCACAAGCAATGTTCCCTCTAAGCTATGGAGTCTTGTGAGCAAAAATTCAAAAAAGTCAAAATTCAGTATGTGAACTTTAAGCTAAAATTTATTTTATTTATTTTTATATATTTTTTATTTATTTCACATTTGAGACTTTCTTATTTTTATTTTTGCCAATGAAAAAGCACATCAGCCATCAATGTCAAGGAGAATAAAAATATATTGACCTGGGATCCTGGTATCTCTCCTTTTTACCTGACATGGGTGGTTTGCTTGTTTTCCCCAACATGTGCCATCAGATAGGCTCGCCAGCTCTGAGTTGGCAATACCTTGGAGATTTTGGGGGTGGAGCCTGAGTGGTGGGTTTAGATTCAGAGGAATTAGCTGTGTTAGTCTGTTGCTGCAAAATAGTCCAAGAGTTCAAATAGCACCTTTAAGACTAACAAATAGCATCTTTAAGACTAATCTTTAAGACTAAGACTAACTGAGTGGTGGGTGTGGCCTTATGACACACTTCCGGTGATGGCAGGGTGTGTGGCCTTATGACACACTTCTGGTGATGTCAGGGGGTGTGGCATATGCTAATGAGTTATGCTAATGAGTTCCCCTAGCTCTTTTTCTACGAAACGACCCCTGACAAGCACCATGTAATAAGATAGGATATTATCTTCATACTGCATATAAAGTACTGAGGCAGAGAAAGAAGTTTCCTTGTGACCATCTAATAAATTCACAGACTTCCTGATTTAGTTTTAATTTCTCTTAAACAAGGGATGGTGATTATTATAAAAAGGCAAAAAACACAGGCCTGGTTTGATATAAATGCATAAAGTGCAATCAACTTGCAGCTGATTTATGGCAGCTCCACAGGGTTTTCAAGGCAAGTGATTACACAGAGGTGGTTTACTATTGCCTTCCTCTACAAGGTCTTCCTTGATTGTCTCCCATCCAAGTACTGACCCTGCTTAGCTTCTGAGATTTGACAAGATCAGGCTATAATATACCTTTCCACATCCCCCCCCACCCCTTACCAATTATGATTTAAAAATAGACAAAGCACAAAAGCATTTGCCATGCAGCATAGGAAACAGCTTGGGGTAGGGGTGGGGAGTCAACAGTCCCATAAGGCACAAGTTAAAGTCTTAGTAAGTCCCAGGAAGGGCAACAGCTAGCTCACCAGCCAAAGCCCATGAAAGGCTCCCCTGGTCACACAACCACCCATTTAACCAAAAGGAGACTCAGATCTAGCAGCACCCCAAGCTAGGAACCTGCTCCTTTAGGGGAGTATAACTCCATCCAGAAAACAGAGTTTCACTTACCTGTGACTGTTGTTCATCAAGTGGGCTTCTGCATAGGCACACATGGGATTGTGCTTGTGCTGGCCTGCCAGAGATGATTCTAAAGAAGGTTCGGCGCACTCCCCAACTCTCATATAAGCCAGCAAGTGAGCCAAACCGGGTCCCATGCCACTTCTGCTGAAAAGCATCCCCTAATGAGCCCACATTTTGGTATCCAAAAGGATACCAAAATGCCAACAATTCACAGCTAGAGAAAGCGTTTATGGAACCATTTCATTTTAGGTAAAATAGCTCATAATCTGTTTATGATGCAGACTGCAAGACAAGAAGAAAACTTTGTTGCCATTTGGTATCCAATTATAGATTACTTAACAGAACATGAAGTGTTTCCTAATAATACATTTTATAGAACTCTACTGTCTGAGAGGTGATATGATAACCAATTCTGACAATGTTTTCCTCCGAAAACAACACTAAAAGAGAAAACCTGTTGTGAAGAATACCTAACGATGGCTGCAGTCACACGGAGCATTAGGCACGCTAGAGGGACGGAAGATAGGCGGATTTTCCGGGCGCGATCTCACCGCCACATCTGGGAAGCGTTGAGCTCCCGTGGCGAACCCGAGGCTTCCCGCGGAAGATGCGCGGTAAAAAACTAGTACCTTGGAGGTACTAGTTTCCTGAAACCGCGGGGCAAGGGCGGGCGTCTGATCACGTTTCTGGTGGTAGTTCCGGCGCCCACCCATGTCCCCTCGGAAAAAGGTTTTTTTTTCAAAGTCTCCATGGATGCGCACAAGCACCCAAGGGAGCATGTGCACATTTGAGTTTTAAAAAAACCAACAACCCCGTTTGCCCCGCGCCCCACTTCTTTGCCATGCTGCAGGACTGTGGAGTGATCGGCACCTCCCCCCTACCACGGGACCTCCATGGGACCTCCATCAGTAGGTCTGCTCGAGCAACCGCGTGGTTTTTAGCCCCGGGGTTAACAGCCACGTTTCCCCCCCGCATTTTCCTGTCCGTGTGACTGGGACCAATATTATGTAAGGATGTGGGTTGTAGAGATCAGTGATCATCCTAAGATTCTCAGCTCCCTAGAAGAGAATGCAGCTGTCTTTGATTTGCTGCAGAACTCATATTTTAGTACATAACCAAATTGTGACTATTTCACACTTGACTTAATCTTTGCTTGCTGGTTTAGTCAAGTCCTTGAAAAGACTACATTAGAAGACAGAACTTTCTTAATTATAAAAATCTTGAGTCATTGATCTTTATCTTCAGAACTCCAAAATACACAATTAAACATTCTGCTTTACTTCATTATAGCAAAAAATAAAAACAAAACCCACACCATGTAAGAAAACAAATATCTAACCCAGATTAGGGATGGGCACGAACCAAATCAAATTTATTGTTACGGCCAATTGACCAGCAGTGCAGTAAAACAATACAATATGGGCATGAACCAGAAAATTCCAGTTCAGGTTGGGGTTTGGGGTGTACCCAAACCGAAACCTGAACCGAATCAAGCAAAAAATGCCCGAACCAAACCCACCAGTAAGGCCAGTTCAGGCTGCCTGAGGAAGGCGGGGATCACCTGGGAAGTGTTAAATGTTTGTGAGCTGTTAGGCTGAAATGGATGCAAGCCATTTCAGCTATCCCTTTTCGCTCACCCATGCTTGGAAGCTTATGGAAACACCAAATTGGAAGCGGGGGGGGGGGGGGAAAGGGATCGCTGAAATGGCTTGCATCCATCAGCTGTTTGGTTGAAATAGATGCAAGCCATTTCAGAAATCCCTCTCGCTCCCCCACACACACTTCCCACCACAAGCTGCACAAACCTCCTAATAACCACATGGGAGGGTTGTTGAGGCAAGATGGCATGAACCTTGGTTCACAAACCCAGGCGATTTTCATCACAAAATAGGTTCATTACGAGATCCGTGCCGAACCCTAATATAGATGATGTTTTTAGCTTTGAATGGGCCTTTCAATAATACATTATATATTGAAACCAGTGGATAGACAAATAAAGGAATATTTCAATGGAAACAGCTATGCAGAAGGTTCAGCTATGTACACATGAAACACCTATTATACAGGTTGAACCATATTACTAAGATCAGAATTAAATGCTACAATTGCCACGGAAAATGGCAGCTCCCCACTTTCCTGTGATGTTTAGCCATACTTGCTTTTGTCATAACATCATGATGTTGCATTTCTGTGTTGACACCCCAAATCATCACTTGCCATAGGCAGGAAGGGAAACACAGAAAATTATGCCTTAATACTACGTATGGGGGTTTCTCTACACAAGGCTCCTATTTTTGGTGGCAGCTCCATTTGAGCATAACAACTAGTTCCACTCCCTAAGGATTGGATCCAACCAACTTTTCTGCTGATGAAAAAGAAAGGTTTATTTGTTTGCCATCAAGTAGCAGCTGACTTATGGCAACCCCATAGCATTTTCAAGGCAAGAGATGATCAGAGGTGGTTTACCATTGTCTGCCTCTAAGTAGCAACCCTGGTATTCCTTGGTAGTCTCCCATCCAAACACTGGCTAGAGCCAATCCTGGTTGGTTTCTGAGATCAGACGAGATTGGGCTATCCTGGCTATCCAGGCCACGACTTTTCTTAGAGCACCAAAAAGGCTATGCTAGGGATCATGAGGACCATATGTACAAAAACGATGCAGGATTGGACCTTTAATTTTGAGCAAGATCAGGTGAAAAAGCTGGCTGGATTCAATCCTAAATTTGTAAAATATTATTGTGATATAATTATTAAATATATAATAGAAATATATTTATCTTACTGTTCCACCAGTTTTCCCAAGATTTCCTTGATCTCCAGTTTCCCCCTGATAATTTAGAAATAAATACAGATGTTTAGCATACAATTCTTTTTTCGTTTTCGCAATTCAACAGGTTACTTCCTTTCTCTTTATTCTGTTTATCAACACTTAGGAAAATTATTCCAAAAGAACAAAAGCCTTCTGTAGGATAAACAGCCATATGGATCTATTTGTTCAGCTTTGAGATTCATAGTTTCCACATGCTTACTATACTAATGATTCAGTTATCTTTTATAATTCTTCTCATTAGCCAGAAATGTCAGAAAACAAAAGTCCAGTAGCATCGTAAAGACTAACAAAATTTGTGGCAGAGTATGAGCTTTCATGAGTCACTGTTCATGTAGTCTTTAACGTGCTACTGGACTCTTGCTCTTTTCTACTGCTACAGAGAGACTAACACAGCTACCCATTTTGAAAACAAAATTTTCCCATCATTATTTGGATTTTTGGCTAGTTTTATCCTGAGGGAAAAGTCATGTACATGTGAGTGAGTGTATAGCCATTGAACTCATATAAAACCATGGGTCCATTCCCTGCTCCCACTGCTACACAACTATGCTGTGGGAAGGAACATAAGAGAAGCCAATGTTGGATCAGGCCAATGGCCCATCTAGTCCAACACTCTGTCACACAGTGGCCAAAAATACCAGGTGCCATCAGGAGGTCCACCAGTGGGGCCAGGACAGTAGAAGCCCTCCCACTGTCCCCCCCACCAAGCACCAAGAATACAGAGCATCATTTGCCCCAGACTGAGAGTTCCTGTCTATACCTTGTGGCTAATAGCCACTGATGGACTTCTGCTCCATATGCTTATCTAATTCCCTCTTGAAGCTGTCCATGCTTGTAGCCGCCACCTCCTGTGGCAGTTAATTCCATATGTTAATCACTCTTTGGGTGAAGAAGTACTTCCTTTTATCTGTTCTAACCGACTGCTCAGCAATTTTATTGAGTGATATTCATATTTAAAAAAAACATTTTATTTATAAGGTTTTTACATTATACAAAACACAATATATTGATTGTATTACAGTAATTACCATATCATAAGTCTATGTTAACATTTGTTGTCTAACCACAAATAATTTTTTCCCATCTTTCTTTAAATATGTTGTCATCTTTACCTTTGCAAAATTAGTGTTAATTTATCCATCTCTGCAATATTCAACATTCTATATATCCATTCATCTCTCGAGGGTATTTTTCCCTGTTTCCAATATTTAGCAAATATAATACGAGCCAATGTTAACATATATGTTAATATATATTGATCTGGTTTTTTATACTTATCTGGCAAGATATTTAACAGAAATATTTCTGGTCTATATGGTAGTTCTATATCTATGATTTCAGATATAAGTGTTTGTATCTTATGCCAGTAAATTTGTGTTATGTTACACCTCCACCACATATGGTAGAAGGTGCCAACGCTATGTTTACATTTCCAGCAAGTTTTAGATAGATTTGGATAACATTTCGTGATTTTATCTGATGACCAGTGCCACCTAAAAAACATTTTATATATATTTTCCTTATATGGTATTGCTCGTGTATATTTTATTAATTTCCAGATTTTGGACCATTCATCAATATCAATGTTATATTCAAAGTCTTGCATCCAGGATACCATTGGGACTTTCACTGATTCATCCTGTAAATAGTCTTGGAGAAGAAAGTTATACAGTTTCTGTATTAACTTGTCGCTTGAGGATAGCCATATTTTGTCTAAGACAGTTTTTGTATCCTGAAATCCAACTTTTTTATAACTGGTAGTTAACTGTATATTTTCCCACCATGACAATTTAATGTTCTATAAAAGTAGTTTTTCCTGGGTTTTCAACATATTATTTTTATCTAACAATGTTTCATATTTTTCTTCTTTATCCTTTGTAAGTAGTGAAGGCTTTATAAACGCTTCCATTGGCAATATCCATTTAGGTGTTTTATTGTAATACCGTTCCTTTACTTCTTTCCATACTTTTATTACTAAGTGAAATTCACTGAGGAACTGACTGAACATTCAATAAAGCCTACCCTCCACCACTAGGATCCCACAATGAAATGCACCTCTCATTAATCAAAATAGTAGACCTATGGGCATCTCCCATTCAGTTGCCAAAAATTTTAGCAAGGTATTAGGATTCCATCAATACAGATGCTTAAATGCCAAGAAATGTCCATTCCCGCCAGCGACACACTATGAACTCTACTTCCATTTAGTCTTTGCCATCTCACTTTTGTGCTTATCATCATAAATTAATCTCTAAACCTACACTCAGGTGGCAGCTGTGGCCAACAGCAGTTTTTTTTACCACCTAGGGTTGCCAGGTCTGGGCTGGGAAATACCTGGAGACTTTGGGGGTGGATCCGGGAGAGGATGGGATTTGGGGAGGGGCCTCAGCATGGTACAATCGCATATAGTCCACACTCCAAAGCAGCCATTTTCTACAGGGGAGCTGATCTCTGTCAGCTGGAGATCAATTGTAAAAGTAAAAGATCTCCCGGCCCCACCTGGAGGCTGGCAACCCTATTGCCACCTCTTAGTGAGAAGCACTGTGGAACATTCTTCCAAATTCTTCAAGGCCAGACTACGTTAATACACTTTACGCAATGCAGCATATCTGTTTTGCTTGGAACCCTCTGCTTGTGAACAAAACAGACAATGGTATACATGGTTTTTCTTTGACACCAGTTCACACCTTGTATTAAGAAAACCTGTGTGAAACAGCCCAAGTCTTCATTCATAACAAAGTCAAGAAGTCAATAAGTTTGGGTCGCCTGCCATTTAAAAATTACTTCAGTAGTATACTTTCAGAGAGCAGCCATGGTCTGCAGTAGAACAGTTACATTTGAGTCCAGTAACACCTTAGAGACCAACAAGATTTTCAAGACATAAGTTTTCTAAAGTAAAAATTCCCTTTGTCAGACGTAAGTAGGACAAAGGTCTCTAAAGTGCTACTAGAATCCAATCTAACCATTTCAGTAGTATGGAAAGTGGGTCATGAAGTAATCAAAAATAAGTTGAGGAAGAGCTATGAGGATTTGCAAGGGATATGCCAAACCACCTTAACTTACACTTTTCACCATACTTCACCCTCTGCCTCTCAGCAACTGGCATTATGTGTGTACTTTGAATAATCACACACAAAAAAGTCTGGCATTCTAGCTATTAAATAAATGAGTAAAAACTGAAATAGTTCAAACATACCTTCAGGCCTTCTGGTCCTGGTTCACCTGCATACCCTTTCCGACCTGGCTTTCCCTGTATTCAAGTAAACACATCAGCTATTGAATTGTGTTTAAAGCCAGAACTCATCAGTTCACTAGTAACCTCATGCTGCATACAAAATGTCAGAGCTATTGAGGGACAAAATACATACCAGGTGTAATTTCATGTGATTGCCCTCTGTCTTTTAAATCAAAGACCAGACATAGGACTCTGGTAAGGAGCAGAAGCTAGATAAGTCGGAAGAACTATTTCCCTGCCTATGATTTTTCCACCCAAAATACCATCCCCACTTGCTTTTCATATGCAAGTTCCTTACAGGATTTCATGGGAAAAGGCAGAGAGGATGTGATTTTAAGTGACTAAAATGACACAAGTTTAAATATCCACCCCTGGCCCATTTTGGGTTCCCTGCATATACCTGCATATATATGTGTCTCCCTCATATACTTTTTATTTGAAAAAATCAAGGCCAGAGGAATATAATAGAAACTGTGCATAGTGGGTTGGATCACATGGAAAGAATTTCCATTAGCACAATGGGACTTTCTCCTCCCATTCTGTGGCAGCCCAGAGGACACCCAAAAAATTGTTCTTGCTCTTGAGGGAGAGGGGACCCCCAGGAATAGCTTGAGGAATGAATCTGAATGGGGCGGGGGATTCAGAAAAAAAAATGTGTTAGTGGAAATCTACTGCTGGAACCAACCTAATCTGCATTTGCCCACTGATGATGGTTACTGTGGAGCTCTTTTGTAGCAGACACTGTTTTCATGTCTCATAGTTGTTCCGCTGCAACTGTTATGGAAACCTGCTACTGAGGACACTGCTCAGCCAATAGATCTCAAAAAAGCCAATCATATACACTCAAAAATAAATTTTCTAAGGTGATTCCAAGCAGAAATAACGGAATTAATTTCTACTGAATACAATAGGACAGGATTCTAAATCATTGTGTCTTGGATCAGGGATAAGCAGCATAGCAAGGACAGAAAGAAAAACAAACTGAAACATAAGCAAAATTAAGCCAACATATCATTTGCTCTGCAATACTGAATTATCTGATCCTAGCATCAAGCTCTTTCCTTCAAATCATCTATTTTCATAAAACCTTTAGTCATTCTTTAACCCCTACTGAAAGTTAGTGTATATAACAACTTATTTTTACTCTGTTGGCCTTGTCTCCAGCTTTGCAGTGTCTCCCTTTGACAAACTTTAGATTGTAATACCACCAGGAAGGAACTTTTTTTTGGTTTCATTTTGTAAAGTGCCACATACACTGATGATGCTCCATAGAAGTAAAAATTCAGTCTTTTTTTTTTTTTTTGCATTTTCTAAAAACGGTTTTACTCTTTTCTTCTGTGTCAGCTGGGAGGAATTCAAAACTTTATTGCTCCCTTACTTGTTAATGTACTGAAGTTTTAACATAATAAAATATCTAATGGTAAGCCAAACATTTTTAATTAACAAAAATTGTACCCATGCTTCAACTGCTTGAGCTGAGTTATAGTGACATAGTAAAAACTGCTTAGCCAAACTTTGCCACTGTTGATTAACTCAACATATAGACACTACTGTACATAAATATATGAGCAAAAGAAGCTTAAAGTAACAGAGAATATGCTTTATTACACACAGTATAAACTGAACAGGGAATCTATACTCTTGTCACCAGCATACAATAAGGAATTCTGGAATACATTGAAGATTTCTAACTTTGTTCATGGAGATTTAGTTCTGAATGTGAAGTAGTATTAAAGTGTGAAACTGTTAAACTTGGTCTGAAATATATCTCAATAAACTTGGGCTGAAATATATCTCCCACTTTCCTATCAGCATGTAGCTTTCATTAAAAAGAGATATTTAATAGATGGAGACAGAGAGACAAGAGCAATACAAGAAAGGGGAGGAGAGGCCTTCAGTTAACAATGTCAACTGGATTAATGGAATACTGGCAGCGGGGAGAGAACTCAAAGCTCCCAGATTTTGGATGCTAAATAATCTATGCACAATATAATAAATTAATTTACAAACATTTTTCTGAGTGCAAATGTTGATTTTTTTGGTGCCATGGGCCACTGGTTCCAGATAAGTAGCTGTTGTAGCAGCAAAATAAAACAGGACTTTAGTGACACGTTAAAGACTAATGTTTTAAGCTTTTGAAAGTCCAAGCTCACATCTATCAGATGCACAAGGAATGCATTTTATCACAAACAGATGCATTTTATCTCCTGTGCATACGACAATAAAGTGAGCTCTGAGACATAACAGCATATGCTGGAATAAACTGGTGGGTAATATCTTTAACTGGATGGGGGGTGTTCAACCTGTCGCAGTCCCCCTGAAAGAGCAGTCACTTGAGGCTCAGGTGGCATTGGTGGCCCAGAGTGCTTTCTACCAGCTGGTGGCCCAGTTGTGTCACTATCTGGACAGAGATAGTCTGGCTTCAGTAATTTATACTCTGGTGACCTCCAGATTAGATTACTGCAATGCACTCTATGTGGGGCTGCCCTTGAAGACAGTTCAGAAGCTGCAGCTGGTGCAGAATGCGGCAGCTAGATTAATAACTGGGACCCGGAGGTCCAAACACATGACCAATTCTGGCCAGCCTGCATTGGATGCCTGTATGCGTCTGGTCCCAATTCAAGGTGCTGGTCTTAACTTATAAAGCCCTACACATCTTGGGACCACAATATCTGCTCAGTGCCTCTCCCAACCCTAATCTACCCGAACACTACGCGCAACCTCTGAGGCCTTCCTCCAGGTGCCAACCCCTTAAGAGGCTAGGAGGGTGGTGTGACGGATTCCAAAAAGGGAACACCTAGAGAAGGGCGATGTGCAGACATAGGGCGATGTGGAGAGATGGAATGTTTGGGAGGTTGATGGGCAGAAAACAGACAGGGAGGCAGTTGGAGGACGGAGAGTGAGTGAGGAGGTTGTGGGCGGTTGGAGGCTAACAGCCATTGGGAACTGACACATTTTGGGAAGAATCCCAGAGAGCGGTTTAATTGTTGGAACCTTTGGAACGTGTATCTGATTAAGGTTGTGCTGGAGGAAAACGAGAGATGTCACAGTAAAGCCGTTTTATTCTTATAAACAACGGAGTCCGGTCACTAATTTCCGCCAGTTTTAAGAGCCTTGGAGTGAACCAAGAGAGTTTCATCACGAAGAACGAAACCAGTGGGTAAGTGGTCCCCGCTACTACCCGAAGCTAGCAGTGTCCCGCGTAAGAGTGGTGTCCAAAAGGTGGTGGCCTGTAAGAGCCCGTGACAAGGGGTTGGCAGCGTCGCGATTCGAGAATAGCCCACGTAAGCAGGGTGAAGGAATACAGAGAGGCAAGGCGGCCAGACTGTATTCAAACTGCTAGCGTAGTGGGAGGGAGGAACTCGTGACAGAGATGGCCCCTCCGCAGAAGAATGTCAGGGCAAAGGGAGATGAAGCAACAGCTGGGGAGAGTGCTGAAGAAAATCCCACCCTTGACATTGAAAACATGAGATTGAAGGTAGAACTGGCACGTATAGAGGCAGAAAGAGAGAAAGCCAAAATAGAAGCAGAGAAAGAGTTGCAAATGGCGAGGCTAAAAACAGAGGAAAGAGAAAGAGAGAGAGAAAGACAGTCACAAGCAGAAGAAAGAGAAAAACAGATCCAAATAGCCAAATTGCAGGCAGATGACAAAGAGAGAGAGAGACAGTCACAAGCAGAAGAAAGAGAAAAACAGATCCAAATAGCCAAATTGCAGGCAGATGACAAAGAGAGAGAGAGACAGTCACAAGCAGAAGAAAGAGAAAAACAGATCCAAATAGCCAAATTACAGGCAGAGTCACAAGCAGAATTATACCAACTAAAGCTGCAGGAAATCCAATTAAGAGCAGAGGTTGGAGGGCATGGGAGAAATTTTGAAAACTCCAGAATAGAGCAAAAGAGATTCCCAAAGTACGAAAAAGGGGATGATGTAGAGGGTTTCCTATACAGCTTTGAAAGATGCTGTCAAGATATGCAAATACCTCCAGAGGAAAGGTTGGTGTATTTGAGACCACAGATCTGTGGAGGTTTAAGTGAAGTCTACTGGGAGATGAGGGATGGGGAAACAACAAATTATGAACTTTTTAAAGACAGAGTTAAGATCAAATATGGCTTAACAGCAGAGCAAAGCAGAAAGACTTTCAGGGAAATAAAACGTAAAGCAGGGGAGACATACGCCCAGTTAGGCTGTCGCATTGATAGGGCGTTAGACAGATGGGTTGAGGGAAGTAAAGTAACAACTTTTCCAGAGCTGAAACAACTGATCAGCCTTGAACAATTTTACAGCCAAATTCCATCACAAGTTAGATGGATTCTAAGAGATAAGAAGTTAAAAACAGTAGAACAGGCCGCTACTATACTTGATGAAATGGAAGGAGATCTGGGAAAGGCTATGTGGGTAAATCCCTTTAAGCCCTCCAGAAATTGGCATCCATCTGAAAACCTTAAGTTTGACAACACCCCTGCAAGGCGGACAAGTCCTGATCTAAAAAGGAAGGATGCAGTCACCTGCTTTTCCTGTGGTGAGAAAGGCCACATACGAAAATTCTGTAACCAGAAAGAACCAGAATGGAGATTTCCCCCAAAACCCATTAAATTGCTAAAGAATATACAGCCAGACCATGAGGAATCAAATCCTCAAACAGCTAAGAGTGAATATGAGTCGGAAGAGGCCAATAACATAATGACGGTCTGGAAGATGGAAGAGGGGTTAGATAAGGAATATATAGAACCCTTAACTGTAAATAATCAGAGGATAGAAGCTTACCGCGACACTGGTGCTCAGGTAACGCTGATCCAGCCCCAGCTAGTCCAAAAACATCAGTTCTTGATGGGAAGGAAGTATACCCTGAAAGGTATCCGTGGCCCAGCATTCGAAGTTCCTGTGGCTGAGATCCCAGTGCAGTACAAGAGCTTCCAAGGAACATGGACAGTGGGCGTCCTACCTGATATTGGGGTACCAATGCTACTGGGAAATGATTTGGCTTCAGAAGTAAACAAGGCCGAAGCCAAGCCTG